TACCAATCAGCCCCCACCTCATAGAGCTTGTGACATATAGCGCACCCACAAGGACCAGATCTTGTTGTAATTTGGGAATGAGTTGTGACCTCTTCCATTGTATCTCCTGCGGAGATTCTCAAGATTTGGGGCCATGGTGGGAATGAGTTGTGACCTCTTCCATTGTATCTCCTGTGGAGATTCTCAAGATTTGGGGCCATGTTGCTCCATCTTTGGACGATTCAAATGCGTCCTGCACTCCAAATCTTATGTGTCAGGTTTATGGTGCCCTTAATGAAGTGAGATGGCTTATTATTCAGTAGTGCGACCTTGTGGTCAGGGTGGACATCCACCCTGAAAACATCCCCCAAGCAAATCAAAGACTGAGGCCCAGAAAGTCTTAATCATACTGTATCGCCGCCAAACATGAAAATGAATAGTTTAGACCCAATTTTAATATGAGAATATTTTCTACCTTTTACAATGTTAAAGGCAGAGTGGTTTGTGAATTTTAAATTGTGATTGTCTTAATAAATAAAAATAAACAATGATATTCCAACACTTGGTGATCTGAAGTACAATTCAGGTTTTGTCAGTCATCCAGATAGCCAGGCAATGTTTCGACATGGCATTTGTCTTTATCATGCCATAAAGAAGTGCATTATACAAAGGTTTTTTTTTTATCAGTGTGCAATCTAAATGACGCACCAATAGCTGTAACTTAGATTACACGTAATATTACTGAGTGCTGAGTCCCATTGTTTATTTTTTGTAAATACATTGGATCCCTTGGAGCAGGGATTCTGACTTGTGGCACAAGTACCAAAATTTGGAGTTATAAAAGTGCCCCTGCTGCATATTCATTTCTGTTTTAATAAATGTCACACAACACAGACTGAAACCCAGAAAATGCTTTTGATTAGAGATTTGTTTTGCTACAAACTGCAATTTATCCGAAGTCCTAATCACGATCCAAACTAAAAATGCAATGGAGGAAGACAGTCGTTGTGATTTGTGATTCTGAAATCTGCCCGTGATGCCAAATGCCAGAGATGATTGCTGGAAAAAAAAAAGATAATTGATGACAAGGGAACAATCACTAACTATATTAGCTTTATTTATTCACAGATCAAGTGAGAAGTCCAATAGAGGGAAAAAGTAGGAGCAGTAATAAATATTTAATATATAAAAAGATTTTAATGGCTACTCTTCTTTTTCACACTGCTGGTTACATTCTCTCACTTGAACTACGAACCAAGTGGTGGGAAAATGCGCCTATCGGTGTACTGCAAAATATATATAAAATAAGCAGCTTAGTTTGCCATGATGTGGGTTGTATCTCCTGTCCAATAAAGAGGTGAGGAAAAAAAGATGATTGATGGACAAAAGATGGATAGGAGAAAACCACTAAATGTTGATTTTATGCCTAGATCGAGTGAGAAGTGACTAAATGTGGAACAGTAAGAAATCTATATATTTCCAAGCAGGATTCTTCCAGACATTTCAGTTATTGAAGGAGACAGACCACCAGTGATTGTGTGTTTTTTTTTTGTTTTTTTTACCATTGTTGTGCCTGGGTTGGAGTGGGGCTAGCTGGTTTTATTGATCCTAGTCTGAGACTGGACAGGTTGTTAGGTTACTTCACTGATTCACTGATTTAAAATTATGTTAGTGATTTGTGATTTATTTTTTTTATTTCTTGTTAAAAAAAAAATTCCCTTTTTTCAACTTAAAATTACTTCTGCTATTGCTGTTCCCCCTTTTCATTAGTTTACAAGACTGCAAAAAAGAAAAACAATCATTAAGTTCTCATGAAATATTTTTTTCATACAGATACATTATTTTGACAACTCTCAATTGGCATTACAAAATACCTGATACTGCTTATTCATTAGGCCAGGCAATATTTTAGCCATTGTTGCATTGCAATACACTAATAGGCACATTTTTACACCATTTTATGTCACCGCTATAGTTTTTCCTGCCACGTTCGTATGGTTGAAATTTGTCCAAACGAATCGCCACATCAACAAAACTCCGTTCTTCTGAACCAATTTTATTTATTTTTTGACAAATCAATTCAGATGAACCACATTTTTTTAGCCATGCACAAGTCTAATAGCTATACAGTATATACAAGTATTTTCTGCCTAACGCAGATTGAAAACATACTAAATTTGTAATTTTAGTGCATGGATTTTTTTGTGTGCAAAATAATGTTCCTGTGCATTTTAAGTATTATGTTTCAGTGTTTTAAAAACATCTCAATCTCTTCTTTGGAATAAAAGGCTCCCATACACAATGTTTTCTTATAATTGTATAGTTTTACAGTTTGCAATAATTTCATTTGTTCCCGGGTTCTGCTGAATTACTCTGTACGACATACAAAATACACCGAAAACAGTGGCAGAGCCTTGTTGCCCTTCAAAGGTTATTGCTGCAATCTCTCCCCATCTTTGTGCAATCCATTGGAGGCTCAGCCGAGACTGCCAATTAGCACATTCTGAAATGAGATACGGTTACCTAACTAATATCAAATGAGCTGAGATCACCAACTCATTTCACACTTGACGCTCGTGAGATGGCAAATGATGACTCTCAGTCACTCTCTCCATTACCCAAAATGACATATTTTTTATATTCTGAAAATCTGTAGTAAAGATTAACCCTCTCATAACTGTGGTTTGATGTGTAATGCATTAATCTTGCACACTAAACCTTTTGAGAGAACGTTTCATGAAAATATAAAATATAATTTTTATATTTTCATATAGTCTCTAGATTTCAAGTTGATTTAGCCAGTAGAATGTATAGATTGCAGTTTAAAGAAACACAAAAGGGTAGGAATGCAAACCTGTATTTTTAACGGTTTAGTGTCCCTGTCTCTTTTTAGATATAGGTTGCCCCTGTATGTGTGCTTTAAAAATAAAAGGGGTGGGGGCGTGGTTTGGCGCTCAAGCTGCACGGTCGCATGTCGGAGTAGCTCCCGCCGCTCAAGCTACATGAGGCACTAAACAACCGGACTAATGAGCAACTTTAACAGCAAGCGACATCACAAGTACACACCATGTCCCAGAGACTAAAAACCAAGCCCACAAAAGCGGATAAAGCGTCCTTCTTTATGGCAAAAACCGCACCGCAAAAAAACGCGGGAGGGCACTGAACAAGATGGCGGCCTGTCACGATCGCGGGAGGGCTCGCCCGTTTCCCCAGCCTCCCCTGGAATAAATGCTGAAGATCAGCCCCGCACAGTAGCAACTATGAGAAGCATGATGGCAGAACTCACAGACTCAGTTCAGAGGAGCCTCAAGGCTCAAATGCTTACACTAACGGCTGAACTTAGAAAAGACCTGCATGAAATAGGGAACCGCACTGCACACTTAGAGTCCAAGATGGACAACTTCTCCAAGGCTCACAACAGCATGGCTGACAAAATGCAAGAGCTGGAGGACACTATCACAGCCCAAAAAATCAAACTGGCAGATTTGGAAGACAGGTCCAGGAGGAACAACCTCCAATTTAGGGGAATACAGGAGTCAGTAACAAATACAGATGCTGGACAGGGCGCACCGACTCCGAAGACCTAGCCACTTACCTAGCACCGCAGTGAGGGACGTCATAGCAAGCGAGGGACGTCTTTCATGCCAAGGAACGGATAATCAAGGCAAGCAGGAACAGAGGGATGCCTGAGAAATTCAGCAATATCAAAATCTTTTCCGACCTCTCGGCAGAAACCCTACAATACCGCAAATCTGTTGCACAAATTACGCTGTCGCTGCGCACACAGGGACTGAGCTACAGATGGGGATATCTGACCAAGCTGCTAGTATACCACCAAGACTCCCTCCACTCTATCACATCTGCGCCACAAGGCCTACAGCTGCTCCGAGACTGGGGTATCCCGCTGGCTGAGGTACCAAAAGCGGGCCCAGCAAAAGTTCCCCACCTGGCTCAGGACTGGGCGTCCCGATAAAGAGACACCATACCCAAGCGGTATACGTAAGGCGCATAACCAAGTTATCATTTATTTTGTTTTACATGTTATAATGTTATTTTGTGTTTTTAAAATCTTACTTTTCCACACGAGATGCACGTAGGAGAGAATACCGGGGCCCCCCGACCTCCTCCCACACTGACTCAATAAGTATTCAGCGAGACATAGTCTCGGTTAGATCCTGACACTGCCCAATTACCATGGGTTGGGGAGTCAGGGCACCGGAGACTCATAGGTCCAAAAAAAAAAAAATACAGTCGTTTGACAAAGACGGCCGGCTAAAGAGACTTGGCCACGCAATAGCGGTTAATTGTACCAGCACCCATGGTGCCCCAGTGTGTGCTTGTTAAGGGGACATCCTCCTCAGTGGAGAGTCCCAATACCACGATCCCCCTAGACTGCGAGCGACCCTCAGGCGCCGCAAAAAGGCTCAACCCAGAGGAGCCTTATAGGGCTATGCCCTCTCCTACCACCTCCCTCCCACATCCAGAAACCGATACAAAGGCAGAAGCCAAAGGTTGACCTTCCCTCTTCCCCCTCCTGCCACCATACCACTTCTTCCACTTCTTCTTACAACAGACAATCACACTGAACCGTCAAAAAGGGCCACATACCAGAAAGTTAAATATGAGCAAGAGTCCGAAGGCCTACATACACAGATACTAACACCAGCATTACCTGATGTAACCACACCAGAATGAGAATAGTGTCTTATAATGTTAAGGGCTTAATTCCCCTGGAAAACGTAGACTGCTTTTGCATGACCTTAAGAAAAACTCAGTTGATATAGTATGCCTTCAAGAAACACACTTTAGGCATCCCACTGCACCATCACTCTTTACAAAACTGTACCCTACGCAGTATCATGCCCTGTCGGAAACGAAAACGAAAGGGGTTTCCATCTTAGTGCATAAAGATGTTGCCTTTACTCTGCAAAGCTGTTACATTGACCCTAAGGGAAGATATATTATTGTGGTAGGGCTATTCAACAATGCATAATACACCATAGGGGCAGCGTACTTCCCGAATGACAACCAAGCCTCTTTCCTCAAATCTCATACTGGGGGAGACTTCAATTTCATCCAGTCCCCGACCCTTGACACTACAGTCTCTCCACAGGGAAAACGCAAAAAAGGGACTCAGGCCCTCTGCAAAACTATCATCAACACCTTGGCCTTGTATAACCTATACGATAGCTGGAGAACGCTATTTTCTTACTAATACAACAGGCGAAGTCTCGGACTATACAGTGTGGTGCGCGCATAAAGCTGTGATGAGGGGACAGTTCATTAGACAATCAGCGTACATAAAACGACACAACCAAACCCCCCTCCTAGACTGCCACAAACAAATAGCGATAGCCACAGCCCAAAACAAAAAGACACCCACGACAGCCCTAGCAGACAAATTAAGAGACCTATACCAGGACCTTACCAAGCTCAATGCCCAGAAAACCCAATACTTTCTACACAGACTACAAGCCACCACATACCACAATAGTGGTAAAGCATCCAAATACTTGGCCAACAGACTCAGGACAAAGCAGGCTGCTAATAGAATCCCATACCTTATAGGGCACACAGGAGACAAACTCATGAACCCCATGAACATAGTGCAGGAATTTGCACACTTCTACAAACAACTATACAATCTAGACTCAAGTTGCGGCGCTAAAGCCCCAGAGAAACAAGCTATCTGCAGCTACTTACGAGATATTGAACTCCCCAAGAATACAAAGGAAAATGAGATATGGCTGTGTACAATCTAAAACAGGAACAAAAAATACACATAGTGTAATACAGTAAAACAAATATTAACGTGCTGGAATTGTAATGCACTCACAAGATCAAGATGAATAATGCGCCAAAAAGGTGCCAGCCCCGATGAACTTGGGCGGCTAGAGGTCTCCACTCCCCACTGGGAATCCAAACGGACCAAAGTATGAAACGAGACTCCAGTAGGTATTGGTAAAATAAATATGCAAATTTATTGTAAAAGAAAGGCTATATATATTAGCTGCATAAAGTAAGATAAAAAAATAGGTCCTACGCGTTTCGTTCCTGTAATTAGGAATTTTGCAATACAGCAGTAAAAATAATCAATACAAAAAATATACATACAATGTTCCCCCCCTCTGAGTCTCTATAAATAAGGCTGAACCCACAGTTCATTGGTGGATCCTGTGGGAGTTGCTGATGATCCTGTGGTCCTATTCAGTTGTGAGATGTCCTGTGATCCCCTTCAGGTGTGGAGTAGATGTTTCCTCGTCTCATCTTGGCGCGAAGAGATGAAAACCGGAAGCCGGAAGTGACCTCCGTTATGCACTTCCGCCTTCCATATGCGTTCCATATTTCCGACCCATCTCCCTTCTTAATACTGATGCGAAGATATACACTAAGATACTGGCCAACAGACTGGCACCCATCCTTCCAACTATCATAGGAGACAACCAAACAGGCTTCATTAAGAGTAGGCAGGGCAGAGACAACACTAGAAAGCTCTCCTTGGTGCTGGAGAGGCTGAGGGGATCGGGACAGGGTGGGCTTTTACTAGCCCTAGACGCCAAAAAGGCATTTGACTGTCTGAACTGGTCATTTATTGAACACACACTTCTTAAATATGGAATCTCCCCCTAATTTATGAAACAGATCTTTGCCCTGTACGCAGGTCCCACCACTCGGGTGCTACAAGTCGGCTTTCTCTCAGACCCGTTCCCTCTAACGAATGGTACGAGGCAGGGATGCCCTTTATTGCCACTATTGTATGTCCTGGCCCTAGAACCATTACTGGTCCAAATTAGGAATCAGGCGGGTATCCGGGGAATAGAGCTACATGGCAGGGAAATTAAAATTAGCGCATTTGCAGATGACATCCTCCTCTGTGTCACCAGACCAGAACAGTCGATCCCACTTATTCTAGACCTCATAAAGTAATACGGGATGATGTCCTTCTATTCCCTTAATGCCAGCAAGACACAGGCGCTGGGAGTGCGGCTCATCCAACAAACAAGAAGGAACATCTGGAGAACAGATACAATAAAATACTTAGGACTGACCTTCACAAAAAACCCTACAGGGACTTTTTCTGCTAACTATGTTAGGGTGTGGGGGGATTGTCGTCAACTTATGAAGAAATGGGGAACCCTTTTTCTGACCTGGACCGAGAGTGTAGCAACCATCAAAATTTCCATAATCCCTAGGCTTCAATACTTGTTTCGCAACTTACCGATCCAGGTACCCATGTCCTACCTCCGAGAAAAACAAAAGGATATCAACAGATTTGTGTGGGAGGGCCAAAGGGCCCAGGTACAGGGAACATTGCTACGAGCACTGGTGAGACAGGGCGGCCTTGCCTTATCGGACATTAAGGCATACTACCAAGCAGCGATATTAGCAGCAATCCTTCCCCACTTTACAAACACGGCTCTACCGCAATGGGTGCAGATGGAAAAACAGGCTATAGAGCCCCAGGTTTAGACCAGAGGTTCCACAGATGCCAACGCAATTGAAAATAGCAGTAAATGTTTGGGATAAGCTTCGACACAAATTAGTAACCCATACCCCCCTATCACCGGCCACCCCGCTCAACACTATCACATACTGTATCCCAACCTTTAATGCCAAGCCATGGATAACTAACAGGGTCACACACCTACACCAAATGCTCACGCACAACAAACTAAAAACGTTTCCAGCCCTGCAAGAAGAATACCATATACCGGTGGCCTCCCAATTCTCCCACATGCAACTAAGCTCGTTCATACATAAACACGCAGAAAAGACTTCCACCCCAGACGAAAACTCCGTTGTTATGACGAAATGGGAACAGACGACTACTAAGGGTTCAGGGACACCAACGTTTAAGCCATTATCCTGGTATTATCTGTCAGCATTACAGAATGATCCAGCATGTAGAAATGTGTAACACAGAGGACTGACAGGTAACGTATACTGGACCTTAGAATGGCCGGACTAACGTACCAAAGAATAGTGAGGAATAGCCGAGGTCAAGGTATACAGAAAGAGACACAACGATAAGAAAAAGCCAGTAGTCAGGGATGCCAGAAAACAGGGAAGTCAAAAACAATGCCAAAGTCAAATAACCAGAATAACCAAAATCAATAACGCGCTCTCGGACAACCACAAGGGAAACCATGACAGGGCACTGAGCAGGATGAGAACTGGGCCTAAATACCCATCCTCTAGATCTGATAGGCTGTAACCGGCCTTTGACCCCAAAGGCAGTTACCAGGTTTCCATTTGCATAATTGCTGCTCAGCATTAACCCTTCTGTGGATTTGGTTGCTGCTTGGCACAACTTTTCATGTGTGGACAGTAAATGCCATTAACCACATTTTTATAAGCGGATGAATACGTGACATTATCAGCTTCTCCGACCCGCACAACACTTTGCAGATTCTAACCAAGCCAAACACTGGGCACAAGACCTACAGTGCCCCATAAGCAAAGACCACTGGGAAGTGCTATAATAACAACCAAAAAACTAATTAAGTCAGAAACCCTACTGGAGCAATACAGGAAAACCTTATACAGGTAGTACATGGTACCCACTCGCTTACACAAGCTATACCCAGGTTCATCTCCGAAGTGCTGGAGATGTGGAAAGGGGGAGGGAACAGTACTTCACATCTGGTGGCAGTGCGAACAAGTTACCAGTTTCTGGCGAGCATCGGCCACCGATCCGGGACACTACACACACCAAGCTCCCCTTCACGCCCCTAGCGAGCCGTCTACTACACATGCCTAAAGAGGTACAGAAACTTGCCTTCCACATCCTTTTGACAGCCCAGAGGGCAATAGCTAGATTATGGAAAACTCAAAGACCACCACAAGTGACAGAGGTTTGCAAAGATATTGATACACAACACCAATATGGAACCTGCTATCGAGGGGTCCTCCCCTTGACGAACACGGCCACGGAAGCTTGGAGGTTGTGGGATGCGAGGAGATCGGGAGACCCCCAACAACTAAGCCGCTAGACATGATAAGCTCCCAGGGTCAATCACTAGGTGAAGATAGACAGATAAGAGACAATGCAACACGATAGAGACAAAAACGAAGGAATAGGCAGAATTAAGAGTTGTAGCAAAATTTGGGGACAGAGTATGTAGGTATATGATACAGCTAAAGATCTCAATAAATGTGATTGTAAACATTGATGCAAAAGTTTCCTCCCCTACCTGCCTTATTTCTGTACTCCCCCTCCCTGTTTCATGTTTTATGGCATTGAACTGACAAAAATCAATAAAAATCTTCAAATGGAAAAAAAATAAAAATAAAAATAAACAAACTATTTTACTTACCTTTTTCCAGCACCGAGACTCCCTTGGCGCTACTTATCGCTCTGTGTCCTGTGACATCATGGCCTCCTCCATCGTTGGTCCAATCCAATGCTCCTTGTGGAGGCATATTGGGGAACTAAGGTGCATGCATGGCAAGCATGGCGACTATCCAAGCGTCATGCACCTTTCAGCTTACCCATAGGAATGCATTAAATTAATGATTTCCTATGGGAGTTTCCGCGTCACATGGCTGAGTTGTACTCGGTCAGTGCCATGGAAGCTCCTCTAGGGCTGTCATTATGACAGTCACTAGAGAGGCACTTAACCCTGTATCATAAACACTGTGGTTTCTAAAAGGGTTAAGAGTAAAGGATCTCTGCACCCTGACCAGTTCATTGAGATGATGTGGCCTGGTTGACTTTAGTGGTCCTTTAATAATTCTCTAGTGGGTATCTTGCCATCCACATATTTCAGAAATGACACATCCAGTAAAGAAGTTTGATGGGGTCATAGGGAACACAGGTCAGTTTAACAACCATAAACATGAAATATGGGAAGAAGCAAGATGGTGATATATTGATATATGGGCAACAGTATTTGCCTAACGTGATGGGAACATCTATTTTTTTTATAAAAATAAAGCAATTTTATATTATGATAAAATACAGAAAATAAGCACTTCAGCAGCACTACTCACACTGTAAAGAGCTGGGTCTCCCTACCAAACGTTGTACAGATCTCCAGAATACAGCATTCTTGATTACAGAAACTTATGACAAAGGTTTTCCTCATAAACATGAATTAAAAACTGCAACCTCCAATTCAAAATGCAATATGTCTGTAACAGATCACCTGGCACCCCGTCTGAGCACCTCCGTTGAAGGATGCTCCTAGTGCTTCCTGAGGACTCCAAGCACTGCAGCAGACACCACAACCACCGAACCGGAGAAGCGTACGAATGCTCTCAAGCATATGAATGCTGTAAGCAGCTGAACAGGAAAAGCATACAATCAGCTTACACTCCTGGCAATCAGCATACAATCCAATTCCCCCAATAACGAGACGACACTTCGTTTTGAGGTCAAGCAGAACTGACTGTACTGGCACATACAGCCTCTTTTATTCCCAATCCACAAACTTAGTACTGCCCACAGGGTTTTACAGAACAACCAATAACACATGTACATTACAGAAAACACTCCCAGCAATTATACACAAAATCCTCCCCTCTGCTTGTGATCTAATTATGGCACACAATGGGTTAACATAATTATCACAAGCAGGAAAAATACAGTATCATAAAACACATCACAGGGACCCCAAAACCCAGATCCGTTCAGTACTTTGGAAGATACAGTTTAATGCAGATTCCACAGAACATATACAGGCTATATCAAAAACAATTACTGTATAATGT